ATGTTATCATTTTTATGATATTAAACACGATACCACAGTGAATACTTTTGTGCCTACCATCTTATGCCTCCACGGAAATTGACTAGTTTTAGGGTTAGCTCAAACTTTAAGATACCCATATTGCTCTCCAAAATAGTTATGTTATGTGTGCACTCCTGCCAAGACGGTATAAGAGTTTCTGTTGCTCCATAAAATCCCCAACATTTGGTGTCATGTGACTTTCTGAATTTTGCCAGTCTATAGGGCTGTGAATGCTACTTCATTCTGTTTTAATTTGTAATAAAATGATTAAATCATTACATTAAAACATTGAGCATCTTTTTATATATTTGTTATCCATTCATCTGTTCATATTCTTAATACACAGGTTGTTTGTGTGTTCTCTTCTCAGAGCCATTTATATTTTCTGTATATTAATTCTTGTCAGTTGTCGGCATTGCATATATCTTCTCCCTGTCTGTGGTTTTTGTTTGCTTTTTTTTTTCTTAACTTTTCATTTTGAAATAATAGAGATTCACAGGATGTTGCAAAAAGAGTACAGAGAGGGCTTGTGCACCCTTCACGAGCTGCCCCAGTGATAATATCTTAGGTAACTATAGAACAACATCAAAATCGGGACTTTGGCATTGGCTTAGTGCATGTATAATTCTGTGTCATTTTATCACATGTGCAGGTTTCTGTAACCATCGTTGGAATCAAGATACAAAACTTTGGTCATGCTACCTGTTTCTAGTCACACCCACCCCACCTCACTTCCCACCACCACTGACCGCTGTAACCACCAATCTGTTCTGCACTCTATAATCATGTCATTTTTTTTTTAAAGATTTATTTATTTGACAGAGAGAGACACAGTGAGAGAGGGAACACAAGCAGGGGGAGTGGGAGAGGGAGAAGCAGGCTCTCCGTCGAGCAGGGAGCCCGAAGCGGAGCCCGATGCGGGCCCCGACCCCAGGACCCTGGGATCATGACCTGAGCCGAAGGCAGACGCTTAACGACTGAGCCACCCAGGCGCCCCTATAATCATATCATCTTGACAACATTGTATAAATGGAATTATACAAAACTCCACAGAGTAATACCCTTAACACCCATCCAGGTTGTTGCACTATCAATACTTTGTTCCTTTTTGTTGCTGAGTAGTATTCCATGGTGTAGATGGCCACAGTATGGTTTTCTAGACCGTTCCAGTCACCTGTTAAGTGACATTTTGGTTGATTCTGGGTCTTGGCTATTACACATGAAACTGCTGTGAACACATGCGTAGGTTTTTGTATGGACATGAGTTTTCATTTCATGGCTTAATCATACAGTGATTATATGTTTCATTAAAGAAACTCAGATTTTTTCTAGAATGTCTGTTTTCCCACCAGCAATGTATGAAAGACGTGGTTTTCCTACACCCTTGCCAACATTTAGTGTTGTTGCTATTTTTTATCCTAGCCGTTGTGACAGGCGTGTAATGATAGCTCATCATGGTCTCAGTTTATATTTCCCTGGTGCTTGGTGGCGTGGAACACCTTCTCCTGGGCTTATTTGCCATGTGTACATTCCTCTCTGGTTAAATGTCTCTTCATGTCTTTTGCGCATTTTCTAAATGAGCTTTTTTTTAACTATAGAGTTTTGGTAATTCTTTACTTTCCCAGGAACTGGTCTTTGTTCGATGTGCTATGTGCAGACATGTTCTTCCCATCTAGAGCTTGTCTTCCCACTGTCATAACAGGCTTTCTCATAAAGCAGAAGGTTTTACTTTCCATGAAGTCTAGTTTGCCACTTGTTTCTTTTACGGATCATGCTTTTGGTGTTACCAAAATCATGGACTCTGGTCTTCGCCAAGCCCTGGCTCCAAAGCATCTTTTTCCTATGTTTTCTTCTAAAAGTTTTACATTTTTACATTTTATACTTAAGTCTGTGATCAGTTTTGAACTAACTTTTGTTTAGGGTGTGAGGGTGTAGAGTAAAGCGTTATTTTTTTCCTTAAAGATATTCCGTTGGCATCATTTGTTGAAAAGGCTGTCATTCCTCCATTGAATTGCTTTTGCACCTTCGTTAAAAATCAGTTGGCCCTACTTCTGTGAGGCTGTTTCTGGATTCTTTCTTTTCTTCCATTCGTCTCTGTGTCTGTGCCTCTGCGAGCACCACACAGTCTTGACTAAGGGAGCCATAGTCCGTCTTAAAATTGGGTGGAATGATTCTTCCCACTTTTTTTCAAGTTTGTTTTGGCTTTTCTAATTCCTTTGCCTGTCTACATAAATTTTTCATAATCTTGACAATACCTGTAAAACATCTTGCTGGAATTTTAGTAGGCATTGCATTACGCCTCTATATAACTTTTAGGAGAATCGACATCATTTTGATACTGAGTTTTCCAGTCCATAAACATGGTATGTCTCTCCATTTATTCAGATCTTCTTTAATATTTTTAACCAGTATTTGGTACTTTTCAGCGTACTACTTCCCCTCTATTCCCGTTGGTTGGTTGGTTGGTTGGTTGGTTGGTTGGTTGGTTGGTTTTATCATGAATGGGTGTTATATTTTTCAGATGTATTTTCTCCATTGATTGACATGATCCTACGATTTTTCTTCTTTAGCCAGGTAATATGGTAGACTACACTGATTGATTTTCAAATATTGAACTAGCCTTGCACCCCTAAAGTAAATCATACTTGGTCATGGTGTACAACTTCTCTTATACGCTCCCGAGTTCTGTTTGCTAATACGTTGTAAATGCTGTGTGTCTACACTCATGGAGGATATTGGTCTGTAAATGCTGTGTGTCTACACTCATGGAGGATATTGGTCTGTAAATGTTGTGTGTCTACACTCATGGAGGATATTGGTTGTAAATGATCTGTGTCTACACTCATGGAGGAATTGGTCTGTAAATGCTGTGTGTCTACACTCATGGAGGATACTGGTCTGTAAATGCTGTGTGTCTACACTCATGGAGGATAGTGGTTGTAAAGGCTGTGTGTCTGCACTCACGGAGGATAGTGGTTGTAAAGGCTGTGTGTCTGCACTCATGGAGGATATTGGTTGTAAATGCTGTGTGTCTGCACTCATGGAGGATATTGGTTGTAAATGCTGTGTGTCTACACTCACGGAGGATAGTGGTTGTAAATGCTGTGTGTCTACACTCATGGAGGATAGTGATCTGCAGTGCTGTTTCCCTTTTCCTGTCCTGTCTTTGATAGGTTTTGGTGTCAGGATAAACTGACTTCATAAAATGAATTCCCTCTTCTTCTCTTCTCTGGAAGAGGTGTACAAAATTGGTATTGATTCTTACACTGTTTGGTAGAATTCTACCCTGAAGCCATCTGGGCTTAAAGATTTATGGTTCTAGGGCTATTCAATGATCTGTTTCATATTAGGTTAGTTTTGCTTATTTGTGGCCTTACGAATTGGCCCATTATTGAAATTTTCTGTATTTTCATTTATTTCAAGCACATTGTAGTTGTTCATTTCTTCATTTTTTTAAAAGATTTATGTATTCATTTATTAGAGAGCATGTGTACACGGGGTGGGGCAGAGAGAAAGGAAGAGAGAAACTCCAAGCAGACTCTGTGCTGAGTGCTAAGTGCAGAGCCCAGTGCAGGGCTTGATGTCAGGACCCTGAGATCACAACCAGAGCCGAAACCAAGAATCGGCCCGACTCTGCCACTCAGGCACTCCCTACTTGCTCACTTACGAAAGCTGCTTTAAAAACTTCTATTGGTTGTCTTTTTTCATTCATTTTGAGATCTTCCTGATTCTTAATACAATAAATGATTTTTGGTTGACACTTGGACATTTTGACTATCCTGTTATGAGACTCTGGATCTTACTTAACCCTTCTGTTTTAGCTGGCTTCCGGTGGCATTGCTCCAGCAGAAGGGAGAGAGGCAGCACTTGTGGCCTCCACTGGCACCATGCAGTGGGGCAGGGGTCTCACTGCCATCTGGTAGGGTAGAAAGTTCCAGCTCCCTGTTTGGCCTCCTTTGACCCCAGTGCAGCTTGGTAATGTTGTTGAGGTAGAAGTCTAAGCTCCCCACTAAGGCTACAGTTTTTCCTGTGGTGTTTGCATGGTGGTTATATTCCAAATGTTTTTTGTCCTAGGCAGCAATAAACTAAAATTCCATAAACTGCTTTCATGGGCATCCCATTCCAGTTGAGAGGAATAGACTGTCAATAAGTAAAATACTGAATATTTCTGTTGTGATTGCCCTCAGGTAGAGATAGAGTACAAGGTGAGGCAGAACTTGCCTGTTACAAATAAGATCATCAGGGAAGGTCTCATTGCTCAGGTGACATTTGAGCAAAGCCCTGAAGGACCTGCAGAATATTAGGGAAATGGTTTTGGGGTGAAAGGCACAGCCTTCCTGGCTTCAGTTTTCCATGAAGAAGCAGGGGTGATTGTGTTCGTCAGCACTATGCAGAGGCAGAAACAGTGAGTCTGGGAGCCTTCCATGGACTGCTGTATACAGGTGTAGTAACATAGGCTGTTTTGTTATGACGGGCTAGTAATTCTGATTCCAGGTTCCAGGCTTGGAGAATGGGGTAATGCCACTAACTAGATAATTCAGGAGCAGGGACAGGGTTAGTGGGTTAAAGAAACTCACTTTTAGATTTATTGAGTTTATGGTTCACACAGACTTCTCCAGTGTAGATATACAGCAGAGCTCCAAAAACAGGTCTTTATTTCTTCAACTAATATTAGTGACCAGCTGTTATGGTGCCCAAAAAGGAGTAAGGTGGGGTCCCTTCCCTCAGGCAAAGCGGCTGTGGGGGCTGGATCAGTGTTAGAGCTCAGGGGTGCCAGGAACTTAAGGGGAGTCAGGAAGAGGGTAGGTGGGCAGTTCCTGGGCATTGTCCTAAAAGGAAACGCTGTGGCTGTGGACTGAATGGAGGAGGGCAGCCACAGGTGGCCCTAGGTTATCAGCCTGGACAGGGGTGATGCCGTGTGGCAAGGAGGAGGGGAGGTTAGAGGATGTACCTGACCACCTTGCACACTGTCCTTACAGACTTATGGAGAGGTTTCTCATGGACGGATTGTATCCTTCAAGGTTTGTGGTGTTCTGTGTTCCTGTGGTCCTCCCCCCTCATGCCACCTCAACCTCACTGTTCACCCCTTCACTCCAGTGGTCCAGGGAGGAGGGAGAGGTGAGTGAACACACAGGTGTCATTCGTGCTTGCTTCTCACCAGCTGGCAGCACACATCATCGATGCTGCGTATTTTGGAGCTTACTTATATTTGCATTTGCTTTCTATCAGGAAGACAGTAGAATGGCAAGTAGCAGCTGGTCATATGCCTGGATTCAAACTTCACCTCCTCCTTCTTACTAGCTCTGGTAACCTCTGTGACCTCAAAACTTGGGCTAACACTTCACAGTTCTCTGGTATATGAACGAACTTCGTAAAGCAGGACCCACTGCCTCTCCCGTGGATTGTCCACACTGTCTAGGTCTGGAGTGAGACACTCCCTGGCAGCCGGGATGGTTTTAAAAAAGCTTCCCAGGTGAATCTACAGAGAACCATGGCAGGAAAGAACTCTGGAGTGACACCACTCCCTGCCCTGGGCCGTGTGGGCCTTGCCCTCCCCCCGCACAAGGTGGAGTCTGAGTATATCTTGCTTCCCCTCATACCACGTGCTCCTTCACACCCGCCCGCCTGCCTCCCCCCACCCCTTTCCCTCGGCTTGCTGGTTAAAGCTCTCCGCACCTCGCAGCTTCAGGAAGTCTCATTCCCCAGGCTTTTTGTCAGGGTTTCACACACAGGCAGTTCATAAACAGCTTGTCAGCTGTCTGGCTTCTGGAGGCTTTTTTCCCTGGAATGGTCACGTGCTGCTTAAGGCTGGGTTTCCTCTCTGGCCTGCAAGAGCCCCATCCGTAAAGGGACTGGGACACCCACGGTTGCATTTTCCAACTACATGATGCTGTTGATGATGGCTTCTCTGTAAAATTCCATTCCGTGTTGTCCCTCGTACTTAGAGGTCCAGAACACACCCCAGCTTCTCCTGCCTCTCGCCTTTCCGTGGAGTTTGTGCCAGTGATCTTTGAGGCTGATCCTCTGCAACATTCATTCCATTTAAAATATGAAGAACTCCAGAAAGAAAAAGAGAAGGCCAGTTTCATCACACCAGTGCCCCCACCCCAAGCACCTTCCCTGCCTTCCTTTTGTTCATCTCTGTTCCTTAACCTGAATGCAGTCAGCCACAGCAGCTGTCCACGTACGCCCTGACCCTGTACAAGCACACGGCCACGGTGGATGGCAAGACTGTCCTTGTGGGTGAGCAGCACAAGGCCGGGCCATGGACTCTCTAGGGGGAGGAGAGGGGAGGGGAGAGAAGTCCGTGAGAGGGAGTCAGACAGGAAGGAAGTGAGACCCCCAGCAGAGAGTAGGGGTGGTAGGAAGGAGCCTGGGAGCCCGGAGCCCAGGGAAGGGGGGAGGAGGCGCACAAGGCCTCATTTCCAGCTCTCTGACCTGGTATTCTAATTTAGTCAGTGTAAAGAAATAACAATTGTGGTCTGAGTGTTATCTTCCACAAAAGGTTTTGACTTTCTGTGATGTCACTACCTCCTGCTTGGCTAGGCCACACATCCTGCCTGGCAGTGTCTGCCATCTGTGGTCAACACACGTGGGAAGTCAGCCTAGTTTCGACCTTGGAGGGCCCTGCATCTTGTGGGCGGGAGAATGGGGAAACCTGCCTTCTCCCTTTTGGGACTTCCTGTCTGCATTCTCCTTCCTCCTGGCCTGGCCATGTGTTTCCCTCTCACCCACTCCCATGCACGCACACGTACACAGACTTCCCATGGCACACCCAGGTGCGTTGTGTCCTGATGACGCACACATGCGAGCTGCGTGCTCTTTGTCCCTCCCTGTCCTCCCCACGTGTTGTGTTTCTGCACACACAGATCTGCACAGAGATGCTCAGGGTGTCCGGGTCTCTCTGCCCTCCAGCCGCATCAGACAGTCAGAGTTGTGTTCATGTTGCAGACTTTTGGGACACAGCAGGCCAGGAGCGGTTCCAGAGCATGCACGCCTCCTACTACCACAAGGCCCACGCTTGCATCATGGTAGGAAACCAGCTGGGCAGTGGACAAAGTCTCTGGGCAAGCTTGAGGGGTGACCCAGTAGGGCTGAGCCCTCCTCACCAAGGCTGGGTACTGGGGGAGAGGGGATCAGGGCAGCCTGGGGAGGTTTCTGAGTGAGAATATGCCCAGGTGAGCTTCTCTTCAAGTGAGGCTGGATGAGGAACCCCCATCCAGCGGGTAGAGCACATCCAGGGCCTCAGACGCGGGCATGGTGTCTAAGAGGCAAATGCGGTCCTTCCCTGATAGGAGCCACCTACTCCGACAGGCTCCCAAACCAGCCCCTCTCCTCTGTGCTGTCTAGAACACAGTCCTGTGGTGACCATATGGGGATCTGAGAGTCCCAGAGGGAGCTGCACTTTGAAACCCTGACGGGGATGCTCCTCATCCCTGCCGTGTCTTCCTCAGCTCTTGAAACAAGGAGAGGTAGCTCAGGAAACCAGACAGACATGGATGACAGGTGACTGATGGCGATCACGGGGGGCAGCCTGGTGTTGAGCGGATTCCAGAGGATTCATTACAAGTGTGCTTTATAAGAAGTCTTTATTGGGGATTCAAGACAACATGGTCATTTGTTGAAATGGGGCCTGGGTGTACTGTGGAGGAGCCTCCCAGGTGGACCTCCTGTTGCCTCAGCTGTAACAGCTGCTGACCCTCGCCCACTGCCATGCAGGGCAATCCCCTGGCGCTGGGTGAGGTCCGTTTGCTCCCATGAAGGACTGGGTGGTTCAGAAGGAAGAGCAGCCATTCCAGCAAGTTACAGGGTTGTCCACCTCGATCCACTGTTGTGCTGGGGCAGTTTGGGCCTGTGAGTCCATCCCAGAGGCTGGCCTTTGAGGGGCTCCTGCCAGGGGTTTGAGGGACCCCATCCCTGCCGCAGTAATTCCAAGCATCTCAGGACTTCTGGCCTCCCCTGCCCTTAGAGCAAGTCTGCAGTGCTCATGCTTATTGCTAATATTTTAAAATAGGTAAAAACTATAAATTGTAAAATGTTAATCAAATTACAAGCTACAAAATAATAATAAAAGCTAGTCTTTCCAACTCCGGCCACTGTTGTGAGAGGGGCTGCTGCCATGTGCACGCACCTGCAGTGAGCAGTCGTGCAGAACCGCTCCGGCTTCCTGATCAAAAGGAACAAGCAGACACAGAGCACTGAGGGCTCACAACCCCTTCCCTTCAAGGGTCCAATTCACCTCAAGACTCTGGGCGTGGAGCCAGTGGCTGAAGACAGAGGTGTAGTGGTGGTCGTGAAGCACAGATCCGGCCAGTAAAAACCTGCCACCTCCTACATGCAGACCACCACCACCAAGAATGCCCGGGCCACTCTCAGCAGCACCAAGCACATGTTCTGCAAGAACAAGTACCAACCAGATCTGCGCATGGCTGCCACTTGCAGAGTCAGCGCCATCCTGCGCAGCCCAAAGCCCGTGATGGTGAAGAGGAAGCCGGCCCGCCCCACCAAGAGCTCCTGAGCACCTGCCCCCCACCTCCAAAGCAATAAAGATATCAAACCACCTCCAAATAATAATAATAAAAATGGCTTAAAGGGTTTAAAATACAAAATGAACAAGAGAGCAAACAAAAATTTAAAATTAAAAGTACACCAATAGTGGGTACCCGGGTGGCTCAGTCCGTTGAGCATTTGATCTTGATTTCAGCTCAGGTCCTGATCTCAGGGTCACGGGATCGAGCCCCGTGTCAGGCTTGTGCTCAGCAAGGAGTCTGCTTGAGTTTCTCTCTTCCCCCCCGCCCCCTGCTTGCATTATTTGTCTGTCTCTCTCTAAAATAAGTAAAATCTTTATTTTTAAAACACATTAATAGTAACTACAGGGAAATTTTAGAGGCATTTGAAATTATTACAAAGGAATTTTTTAAAAAGATTTATTTATTTTAGAAAGAGAGAGCATGTGTGTGTGGTGGAGAGGGGAAGGGCAGAGGAAGAGAATCTCAAGCAGACTTCCCACTAAGCACGGAGCCCAATGCGGGCCTCAATCTTACGAACCAAAGATCATGACCTGAGCCCAAACCGAGAGTCAGACGCTCAACCGACTGAGCCACCCAGGCACCACACAAAGGAATTTCAAGACAAAGTTTAAGCAATAAAAATAATAGACTAAGAAGAAACCAAAAAATTTACAGTTTGCAACAGACTGTGTTGGTTAGTACAATGATACATCTTGGTTAAAATAGGTACACAGGATTAGGTGGCAAGATAACCAAAAAGGAGGAAACATTTTAAAGGCCGCTTTTGGATCCGGAGGTTCTGGGGGCTTCCCTGAGAAGGGCAGGCACAGGGCCTCTCACCTGCTTGTGTGTGTCAGGTGTGGGTGGTGTGCAGACACTGACGCACCTGAGTTATTTTCCTTCCTCTGTTCGTTGCAGGTGTTTGATGTGCAGAGGAAAGTAACCTACAAGAACCTGAGCACTTGGTATACAGAGCTTCGGGAGTTCAGGCCAGAGATCCCATGCATCGTGGTGGCCAATAAAATTGATGGTGGGGCCATCCCTGCATCTGGGTGTCCACACTCCATGGGGCCCCCACCACCACACATTTCCTCCTCCATTCCTGGGACAGTAAACCTTAAGTGATCTGTCCTCCTTCCCAAAGTACAGCCCTTGTTTGCTTGCCATCAGTCTCTCTCCAGTAAAGATGCCAACTGAGCCAATCTTCCCTCTTCCCAAGACACAGATCCCTGTTAAATGAACTCTTTCTAGGACATGTCCCCTGATTGCCCCTGCCTGTCCCACTTTCTGGAATGGCCTCTAGTGACCCACTCTGCAAAACCCTCTCCCTTTCCCTTGATGGACCGTCCAATGTCCTACCTTCTCTCTACAGCAGACATAAAGATGACCCAAAAGAGCTTCAATTTTGCCAGGAAGTTCTCCCTTCCCCTGTACTTTGTCTCAGCTGCTGATGGTACCAATGTCGTGAAGGTAATGGTGGACTGCAGAGGTTAGGAAAAGCCAAGTGGTCAAGGGACCAGGGCAGCCGCAAAGAGAAGGGTTGGCTGCGGGGAGAGGACAGGCCTTGCTGCAGGGGCCATGAGTGGGCAATCCAGAGCAAGTGGTGATAGGAAGGGGTCATGGTTTGTTTTGACAGTAGGGGAGGTGATGGGCCTGGGCTTGGTGGGGAAAAGTATATTGGTTGGGAGAAGGTGAATTGAGGGGTGACCTTGCTTACTTTAGGGGTGGAATGTTGTGTGGACATAGGACGGGGACAGGGCACTGGGACCCACTGCCATGTCTTCTTTCCTGCCACCTCCACCTACCCCCAGCTCTTCAATGATGCGATTCGATTAGCTGTGTCTTACAAACACAACTCCCGGGACTTCATGGATGAGGTTTTGCAGGAGCTTGAGGTAGGTCAGGTGGAAACGCTGGACGGGATAAAGCTTCTCTGCAGACAGATGCAGAACTTAACCCAGTAGAGTGGCTCCTGCTGGCCCTTGCAGGCAATGCATGCTCATCGTGCATGCGCCCCCTAGAAGTATCAGAGAACTATGCGGGGCAGACCCAGGCCAGGCCTCACCTGCAACCTTGTCCACAGAACTTTGATTTGGAGCAGAAGGAGGAGGAAGTGCCAGACCAAGTGCAGCGTGGCAACATCGAGAGCCCCTCCCCTTCCTGAGTCAGAGAAGGAAGCCTCTCTCCTCGTGGACTTTGGGGAGGGGGGTGGTATCTTTCAGAATACCCTCCCCTCACCAACCCTCCAGCTATGAATTGAAGAATTCTTGCAGGCCATCCCCCTGTCTACCTCCTGCAAGCCCACCCATTCCATTGGCCTGCCCCACTTCCATGGCCCACAGTTCCTGACCCTTCCACAGTGGTCCTTTCCCCTGGACTCAGGGACCGGGACAGGGTCTGCACCAGCAAGGACCCTTGACAGGTGTGAGACATCCACAGCAGACCCTGAAGCAGAGTTAGAGATCAGTAGCCTCAGCCTCCCCAGGTTGTGTGGAAGCAGGGAAGACCTTCAGGAAACATGCTTTGTGTCTCTAAATAAAAGGAAATTGAGGTGTTTTCTCTCCCAGAACCGACCTCAGGGCCTATTCATTGCTTTTCCACCAAGGGAATGATTTCTAATCCCTGATGGCCCCTATTCCCACCCGTACAGATTTGGGGCGGCGGTGGGGGGCCTCCATTCTTTTCCCTCTTTAGTCTCCCAACCAACTTTTTTTCAGAAATGGTTTTAAGCAGACAGCTGTTCCTATCACGGGACAGGTTTGCCATTACAACCCAGGGAAACAGGTCACAAGTCCTGCCACCCTTAGCTGTTCTGCAAAGCATGCCCATTTGGGTTCTAAGAAGAGCTTCCCTTTAAAGCCCCTGTTCTAGCCGATGATGCTTTCCTGCCTTTTTTGGAGGACTGTTGTGGTACTGCCCTGTGGGGCAGGGAGAGGGGCCGCCCTGCTGCCTTTCCCACTTCTCTCCAGGACTTGTGGTTCACTGGTGTGTTTGTATGATCATCTTGTGCATCATCATTTCCATTGTTTTCATATTTATAGTAAAGTTTGAATTAACATAAACATTTCATGTATGTGCATGCTTGTGGGTCTGGATTTTACTGAGCAAAAAGCCATAAAATACCTTGCGATAATCAGCTAGATGAATGAGGGAAGCTGCCTTGATCTGCCATGTGAGGGCAGCCCGGTCAGCTCTGCTGTAATGGAGACCATTGCAATGGAATTCAGCGTTTTTTGGTTTTGTTTTTGTTTTTTTCAGATTTTGAGAGAGAGAGAGCATAAGTGGTGGGGGAGAAGCAGTCTCCCTGCTGAGCAGGGTTAGGGTTAGGCCCCTGAGGTCATGACCTGAGCCAAAGGCAGACACTTACCCAACTGAGCCACCCAGATGCCCCGAAATTTAGAGTTTTAAAAAGAATGAGTATTGATTTGGGAAGAACAAGAAACAAGAACAAACTATTTGCCTTTAAATTGCTAATACTTACAATTTCAACTGAAAAGATTTACTTGACCTGGGATTTTGAGGAATGATGTGTTACCCTGGCGAGGTGGGCTTTTAAAAAATACCAAAACAAAAAAGCCCTTTGGTGTTGTATGTGACTAGTGTTTTTATTTTTTTTTAACATAATGGCTTTATGGAGATATCATTCAAATACCATAAAATTCACCGTCAGTATTAGTTTTCCATAACCATTTTGCATCAGGTTCCCTAGGGAGAGGGCAGGAGGCCAGAAGCTAAGCAAGGGTGTGGTCTCCCTGCCCAGGGGAAGCTCTGGAGCACGAACTGGCCCACGCAGTTGGTCCCACTTGGAGACCAGGGGGCTGTTTGTGGCAGTCAGCCAAGTGTGGGAGCGGGAGGAGGTGATGGCACCTAGCCTCCAAGGCGAAGTGGCTCCCGCATTAGCAAGGGCAGTTCTCTGGGGGAAAGGGCAGGTTTATCCAGCAACTCCCAAAGCAGCCAGGGGAGGAGTGCTCGGGCAGGGTGCCAGCAGCAGCCATGGCCACCCACCCTCACATGCTCAAATCCACCTGCTGCTGAAAGTTCATTCCATCCTGACTCATACAGGAAACACCACCCCTGGATCTTTTTTTAAATATTTTATTGAGGTGAAACTTACGTAACATAAAATTAACCATCTTAAAGTAAACGACACAGTCCCGTTTAGTATGATTACAATGCTGGGCAACTATCACCTCTGTCTAGTTCTAAAATATTTCCATCACTCAGAAGTAAAACCCCTTGCTCATCAAGCAGTTTCTCCCCCATACCCTCTCCCTTCAGGCCCTGGCAGATTCTAATCTGCATTCTGTCTGGATTTATATATCCTGGATATTTCACATAAATGGAATCCTACACTGTGACCTTTTGTGTCTGGCTTCTTTTACTTAGCGTAATGTTTTCAAGATTCATCCTGGTATTAAATACTTCGTTCCTTCTTAGGACTGAATAATATTCCATTGTATGTATATCCCACAGTTTGTTTATCCATTCATTCGTTGGTGGTTATTTGGGCTGTTTCTACCTTTCAGCTATGTGAATGGTGCTGCTACAAACATGCTTGTACATGGACTTAGAGTAGGTAAGTAGTACTTAGACCAGTGCTCCGTTCTCTTGGGTGCCTTACTCTGCTCAGGCTGCTATCACAAATGACCACTGATGGGTGGCTTACAACAGACATTTATTTCTCACAGTTCTGAGGCTGGGAACTCTAAGATCAGGGAGCCAGCAAGGTTGGGTTCATTCTGAAGCCCCCTTTCTTGGCTTGTCAGCAGCTGCCATTTCACTGAGTGCACACATGACCTCTTCTTTGTGTTCAAACAGAGAGAGATCTCTTTCTCTTCCCCTTCTTAAAGGACCACACAGATTAGGCCCCACCCCTATGACCTCATTGAACATGAATTACCTCTCTAAATACTTTGACTCCAAATACAGTCACACTGAGGATTAGGGCTTCAACATATGAATTCTGGAGGGCCATAATTCAGACCATGGTACAGTATATATCTAGGAGTGGAATTACAGGATCATATGGTGATTACATGTTTAAACTTTGGAGGAACTTCCAATTTTTCCAAAGTGGAACCATTTACAGTCCCACAAGCAATGCACAAGGGTTCTGATTTCCCCACACCCTTGCGTTTAACCCATGTTGTTTTCTATTTTTAAAGACAAATTTAAGCCATTCTAGTGGTTGTGAAGTGGTACCTCATTGTGGTTTTGATTTGCATTTCCCTAATGACATGATGTTGAGCCTCTCTTCATATGCTTATTAGCCATTTGTGATTTTTCTTTGGAAAAGTATCTGTTCAAGTACTTTGCCTATTTTTAAATTGGGTTATCTTTTTTGTTGTTGAACTTTAAGAGTTCTTTATATATTCTGGATCTAAATCCTCATCAGATTTATGATTTACAACTATTTTCTCCCATTCTATAGATTGTCTTTACACTTTGTGGATAATGTCTTTGATGCACGAAAGTCTTTAATTTCTAAGAAGCCCGGCTTGTCTTTTTTTTTTTTCTTTTGTTGCTCATGTTCTTGGTGTCATATCTAAGAATCCATTGCCAAATCCAAGGTCATGAAGACTTAACCTTTATGTTCTTTGCTAAGAGTTTTATGGTTCCGGCTCTTTAGGTCATTGATCCATTTTGAGTTATTTTTTGTCTATGGCATGAGGTAGAGGTCCAACTTCATGCCTGTGCATGTGGACGTGCAGTTGTCCTGGCACCATTTGTTGCCAAGACTATTTTCTCTTTGAATGGTTCTGCCACCTTTGTCAAAAATCAGTTGGTCACAGTTGTATGAGTTTATTCCTGGACTCTCAATTCTATTCTGCGGTCTAGATGTGTGCCCTTATGTCAGTACCACACTGTTATAATTAGTGTAACTTCATAGTACAGTTTGGAACTTAGGGAGTGTGAGTCCTTCAACTCCGTTCTTTTTCAAAGATTGTTTGGACATCTTAACAATATGAAGTCTTCCAATCCGCGAACATGGGCTGTCTCTCCCTTTTTTGAGTCTTTCATTTGTTTCAGAAGTGTTTGTAGTTTTCATGCACAAATCTTTCACTTCTTGGTTAAGTTTATTTCCAGGTGTTCTACAGATGCTATTTCCCTTTTGATTGCTCATTGCCGGTTATAGGGACACAGCTCACTTATGTGTTGATTTTGTAGCCTGAAACTTTGCTGACTTCTTTTAATAACTCTAGTAGTTTTCTGTGGATACTTGTGCATTTTCTATAAATAGAATCCTATGTGCATATGGAAAAAGTTTTTACTTATTCCTTTCCAATTTGGATGCTTTTTGTTCCCTTTTCTTGCCTAATTGCTCTAGCTAGAACTTCCAGTACTGTGTGGAATTACAGTGGTTAAAGCAGGCGTCTTTGCCTCGATCCTTATCTTAGGGGCAAAGTTTTCAGTTTTTTAATTTTGAGTACGGGTTAGCTTTGGGATTCTTCATATGACCTTTATCATGCTGTAGAGGTTCCCTTCTGTTCCTAATTTTCTGAGTATTAATTATGAAAGGCTGTTGGAATTTGGCAGATGCTATTTTTCCTGCATCGATTGAGATGATTTTGTGGTTTGTCCACTTCATTCTATCAATGTGGTATATTACATTGATTGAGTTTTGTATATTGTACCACTCTTCCATTCCTGTGATAAACCCCACTTGTTCATGGCATCTAATCCTTTTAATATGAGGCTGGATATGCTAGTATTTTGTAAAAGATTTTTGTATCTATATTTATAAGGGATTTTAGGGATATTTTCTTTGCTTGTAATGTAGCTTTGATATCAAAATAATGCTACCCACTTATAATGAGTTACAAAATGGTCACCCTTCTATTTTTTGGAATAGTTTGGGAAAGATGGGTGTTAATTCTTCTTTAAACGTTTGGTAGAATTCACCAGTGAAGGCATCTGGTTCTGAACTTTTCTTTCCTAGGAGGTTTTTTGTTTCTTTGTTTGTTTGTTTGTTTGTTTGTTTGTTTTCCAGACTGATGCAATCTTTTCTTTTTATAGGTCTGTTCAAACTTTCCATTTCTCCTTCCTATTTCTTATTGAACCAGTTTGGTAATTTGTGTTTCCTAAGAATTTGTTCATTTCATCTACGTCATATAATTTGGGAGACATGTACTTGTTTATAGTATTTTCTTATATTTCTTTTTATTTCTGTATAATTAGTAGTAATGTTACTACTAATTTCTTATTTTAACTATTTTCACCTTTATTTTTTCTTTGTCATTATAGCTAAAAGTTTGTCATTTTGGTTGATCTATTCAAAGAAGCAACTTTTGTTTTAATTGCTCCCTCTCTATTATTTTTCTATTCTCTCTTTCATTTATCTCTAATATTTATTATTTTCTTTCTTCTGCTAGCTTTGGTTCAACTTGCTCTTCTTTTTCCACTTCCTTAAAGTGTAAAGGTAGGTTACTAATTTGAGATCTTTCTTCTTTTTTAACATAGACATTTATTGCTATAAATTTCCCTCTGAGCACCGCCTTTACTGCATGCCATAAATTTTTGTGTTGTGTTTTCATTTTCACTTGTCTCTAAGTATTTTCTATATTCCCTTGTGATTTCTTCTGTGATCCATTAAGCTTGTTTAAGAGCATTCCTTTAATTTCCACATCTTTGTGACTTTCCCAGTTTTTCTTTTATTACTGATTTCTGTTTCACCATTTGTGGTCGGAGAAGATACTTGGTATGATTTCAGTCTTTTTAAATTTATTGAGAATTGTTTGTGGC